TTTATAACTTCACTTTCAAAGCCTATAACTCCTTAGGGAAGCAACTTGGTATAGAGGTGAGTTGCGTTAAATTGCCATATTTTGGGAACCCCTACATGCCCCTGCTCTATGTCGGTTCTTATGTGAATCACCCTGTATATCAAAAGAAAGATTGAACGAAAAGGGCAGATGAGAGAATGAAAATAGGATAGGACTAATAAACTAATAGAATATATAATAACTAACTCAAATAGCAAAGGACTGAACACGGATGACGACTCAAAGTAAGAAAAAGGTCGGCGATAAAACTGGAAAATGAACACAAGAACTGAAAATGAGAATGACCAAAGTAGAAACTGAAGACAGATGAACTATAGTTACATGGGTACAATTATTGAACAAGAATAAAAAGAGACATAGAGCCAGACTAACAAGAGAAATATATTTAAGTAATAGATTGCTGACGACATGGATACAGAAGATAATGCCTATATCCACGGATAGAGGTGTGTGAGGCAAGGGTGTGGTTAACAACATTAACAGCCGTCCTCTTTTGCATTCTTTGAAGAAGAATAGTAGATTGTTTTATTAGGATCAAAAGTGACACTTTGTTTGACAAGCGAATTTTGCATTTGCGAGGCGGAGCGTTTAGCGAAGCCGAGCGAAAGCAAAATTTGCGAACGTTTACCGGTTCAAATGTCCTTTAGTGTGAATGAATACGATATACGTCATTATTATTCACACAAATGTTTTATAACCAATAAGCCACAACACATATGGGAACATTTTAAGAGAATTGATTTCTTAATGCTAATGAGGAATATATATCAGCAATACATAATTGAGAATTTATCGATTATCGAATAAATAATATTTCTGAAGTTCCCAATCGTATTTCAGAATATGGCAACTGTGTTACTTTCTGCCCCTACCTACTAAATCGTGACGTCAGTTTTTACTCGCGGTAAATTTCTAGCCGTTTGAAAATTGTGGCATTATCGATGATTTTGACACCTTAATATCGACCAAAAAATTCTAAGAAAATGTGAAATTGAAAGGTATTTGAGTGATGATTCTATATAAGAAATAAAAAGAAGGAGAGAAGGAGTCATTTGAATTCACCTCAATGTCCTCTACTTTGGGTGTCGTAGCAGTAGCAGTATGCCCATTTATTTATTGACGAAACACCCTGCATGAAATTTCCGCCGGCATCTGGTGTAGCAATCTTGAATTGAAATTCCAGGAGAGCAAGTGCACATTGTAACAAATAGTTCGAATATAATCGTTCAAAAAGGACTCGAGGGATTTTTAATTAAACCGAGCCGAGCGAGCGTTCCCTTCCTGTGGTCCAGATGAAAATCCATAGGCGTACCGCGTATCGTACACATTTATTATTCTGCCTCCAAATTGACCAAACTGTATATACCGAACACTTCAAGGTAGAATGAAAATACTCAATATCCATTGTTTTTCATTGAGGATTAATTCTAGCACCAACGCACAACTTCATGTCCAGTATACAGCATCGCGGATGATATAGTGCCCTCCATACCGCCTTCTCTTCCAGGGCTCCAATACCAGCCAGGCAAATCAGAAACGAATGAGGAAGACATGTTGACATCATAAATATGGACTTGGCAATAATTCCCGAATTGGGATCCAATAACTTGGTAGATTTCAATGCAAACAAAACACAGGCATGCCTTTTCTCTAGAAAAGCCGATCTCACTGTGACCAACATAAGCTTGTCAGGAGTAACCATACCTTTGAAGACATCCATTTCGATGCTTGGTATTACTATCAGCATTAACATTTCTTGGGAAAATCACGTGAGATCAATTGCTAAAAGTGCAGCCCAAAAACTTGGTTTCCTGTTTCGGACCAGGAGCTATTTCACTTCCAGTCAGCTGCTTATGATCTATAAGGCACAGATCCGACCTGTCCTGGAATACTGTTCCCATATTTGGAGTGCGCAGCACCCAAACATTCCCTGAAACTGTTGGATTCTGTCCAAAAAAGGGCAAATTCGTCTCGTGGGTGATGCCTCGCTCACAAACTTTCACTTCTCTATAAGACCGTAGAGAAGTTGGCGATCTGGCTCTTTTTTATAGATATTTTCATGGACGATGCTCTTCTGAAATATCAACAATTGTTCCTTCCTTGGCAGTCCCCCCGAGATTAACCCGTCGAGTTGAGGCTTCGCACCCCTTCGTGGTCACTTTGTAGACCTGCAGAACATCTCTTTCCAAAGACTCGTTCATCCAACGAACAGCGAGGCTCTGGAACACATTGCAAAGGGAGGTGTTCCCCGAGGCATATAACCTTCAGAAATTTAAGAAGAACACCAATTCCTACCTTATTTCCCTTGGTTCTCACGATGATCTCTGAACATTACAGGATATCCCTTTTCGTGGGAACCAGAACATAAAAAAAAATTATATTGTACACTTCAGGAGATGATATTGAGTTTTTGCTTATTCATTAGGTAACATTCTATTCCACTTTAAGCTTATTAGCTATTTTGTAATTGGAATATAGGTATACTTAGGTCCTTCATATAGGTATTCTAATTCAGAATAGTTGAACACGATATGTCAGTAGGAACTTGATGAGTGAAATTGAAATCATTCTCAGTGAATAAATGTTAATCGAAAACTATTGATATTGCAATACGGCAATAGTTCATGTATTTGATATTTCATCTGTTGATTCTGATCATATAGTACCTACTCACCTGAAGGTATTATGTTTCTTCAGTGAGATTCATGAACCTAATCACCTCACTATGCAATCGCTTGAAAGTATATATAACATACATCCCTATGAAGTCAATCATGCAATGCAGATGCTTTATTCACAGGGGGTTATAGGTATGCCCAGTTACTAACCTAAGCTATGTTCTATCATCAATGATGGAAATAAGTAGATGGTGTTGTATTTACTGATGCGCATTTGTTCCGGAAATTCTTCTCGACCTCTCGAGAAAAATGGTTTTGGCGATCCTCTAATAGTAAGCGACAATGCACAATTATGACATTTGGCAATTTTGAAATTGCCGCAGATTTTTCGAATTTTGAGTGCAATAAACCAACTTTTACACGTGTTCTGCCTACCTGAAACGTCATTTTCCATTCCATTTTCACTCGTCACACTCGTCACTGCAATCATAGCAGCATCATGATCTAGCGGAAAAAAGTTGATTCAACGTCTCGCTCGATGTAACGTAGAGAAATCATATAGTAAGTAGTCGAGTGATATTTCATTGGTTTTCAATACGTAAAAATGGCAGAGTACGCACACTATCTACTTATTTCCATCATTGTTCTATCTATCCCATCTTTTAGTATTCGAGCCATCAGAAGGACTGATAGCTTTCTCATTATCATCTTGCTCAGTCCTTGAACTATCAGATAATTGAATCCTGCATCCACTATTAGAAAAAACATCTCACATGTATTCAACCTCCTACAATCCTTATGCATATAAGATACCTACTGACTTTGTGCCTTTGAGTCAATGGATATAGAGCTCATTCACATAAGTGCGTGTTCCTATATACTTACATATTTTATATTCCCTTTAATGACAGGTTCCTATACATATATTCATTGAATTTCAGCAGGAAATATTGTTTTAATACCTAGAATTGGATTCTAGCTTCTGTTTCTTCATTCCTCTTGTATGGAATTGAAAGTATTCTGAGCTTGACATTGCTTTTCAATATGTTCCCTAGATCAATTCCATCAATGATTGACCTCCAATTAAAACTGCACCCCAAATATTGGGCATTGTTATAGGTACTGTAGGATAATATTCAAGGTGATCCCTCATATATATCCTATAAAATATATTATTATAAATATGCCAACATATCTTGGTGAATTGGTAAGCTTGTCCATCATAGAAGATTCAAAACTGGAGAGATATCACTAATATCCCTTGAATCCTCCAAATTCTCAAAGGATTTAGATCTAGTGGAGTTTCTATGAGCAAGGAACTCCTGAGAAAACATCAGAATAAGATTTCGTCGCTGCATAGGTATCTGATGACTAGGACACCATCTTCACCATCGACGTCGTTATCAGCCCATGACTGTATACGTAGCGTTTGATTGGGCTAACGAAAAACTTAATATGGATCAGTGATTGTATTGAGTAAGCAAGACCAAAGTTTTCGGATACGAGTACAGGTAACTATGGTCAGGAGGTAAACGAACATGCAGGCTAGGGATCAAGTCAATTCGCCTAAGTTTCCAAAACGGCCAATACTATACAGCCCGCCACTGTGCTGACTGCTTTTTCGTAATATTCCTCCCTCGTGCCAAACAAGCTGTGCCTTCTCGTAGAGCAGATGTTACCAGACAGGCCCTTCTCCTATACAGGGCAGGGTTCGTCCTGATCGGAGGACGGGAAAGCTGGGAATTGGAAATTATTCACTCTGCCTCCTCGCTGACGAATAATTGAAATACCTCTGTCTGTTCAGCTTGCTTATTGCATTATTGTTTTCTTGATTTATTAGGGACAGCCAGCGTACTGGAAATTTGGAATAGTTTGTACTAGCAGCATTTGTGTTGCGTTGTTAGACAGAAGAAGGACATCATACAGATAGGTATATTGTAAATTTCAAAGCCTGTTCCATCTGAGTATATGTCGACTATAACTACAAATAATAATATACTGCCCGAAACTTTGAAATCTACTTTGAGCAGGATGGACTATTATGTTACTTTTGTTCAGCAAGACACAAGAATACAATCGATCAGGGAAAATAGTATTTCTGTTGTTCAATATCTCAATTATTTCCGTATTCATGAAAGCGAACTCAATAGTAGACTGATGTTAGATGCTACTTCAGAAAAAATGAAAAAACTATATAAAGAGATTCAATACATACTGTCTTTGGGGTATTCCTCTACCATAACGTTACTGGCTAAAATCGATAAATTATAATAGCAAAGTAACATCTGTACAATCATTCAAAATTTAACCTTCAGCAAGTCTTGATTGTTCATTATTTTCCAGACATCATCCCATATGAAGGGGCTACAGAAAAAACTACCCACGAATTCTTGCAGAAGATTGTCGACATTCTTGTGGACTACATCAAAGCACAGAACAACCGGAACGAGAAAATCCTCGATTTCCACCACCCAGAGGATATGATCAAGCTGTTAGACCTCAAGGTTCCTCAGCAAGGCGTCTCACTTCAGCAACTGGTCCACGATTGTGCCACTACTTTGAAGTACCAAGTCAAAACAGGTACCATATTGCTGTCTTTGAATCTCCATAAACTGTTCGAACAGTACGATCATCACATTTCCCACATTTCCCATTGCTCACATGAAATTGGATAAATTATATTCCTCATAAAATTTTGACATCTAAAAGTTTACTAGCTAAATTTTTCCAGGTATCGACAATCCACGTCATTATTGCATATGATTGTAGCAATCATTGCCAATATATAAAAGATGATGAGAAACTAATAATGACATGATTGAGAGTGACTCATATTGTCTCTGATATCCAAGCTCCATTTCATAGGATGAATTTAGAATGTATCAGCGAATGATTCATTTCTGACAACTCGAATTATATTTTTCCTCATCCATCATCTATTTTCCACTGAGGGATGGATCTGATTCATGATTTTTAGCCAGATTTGGTGAATAAAACATTGAAACGAATGAACTAAATAGTCTCAACACTTGGAATTTACCTGACGGTTGCTGTTTCAACTTCTGTTTTGTTACCTGTTCTAGGTGATATGAACTTCAGTAGACTGATGCTTTTCACGGCAAAAACTTTATAAAGATTAGCTCCTGTTCTTTCATAGGATACCTGAACAGATGTAATGCTAATGATGCAGCAATAAAGAATCATGAACTTATGGATAACCAAAGAGATCATTCAAGAATTTTATATTAGAACAATTCAATCACAGCAGTACATTTAGTCGTTTGAATACTGAGGTGTATGTATAAAGTTTATTGGATCGTATTTTTATGTGGTATTTATCTTAAGGAGTTACAATCAATCTATGCTATTTTAGCACTCAATATCTCAAAATTCTCAGATTTGTTTTCGAAATCTTGTGATTATTTCTTGAAATTTTGAGACTTCTTATATGATGATTAAAAAAAAAATTAATAAGTTTGAGATTTTTCGCTGACTCACAAAGTGGTGATATGACTTGCTAAGGCTGTCATCACCTACCTCACCTAGTATGGACCTAATACATATGTGATACCAAACACCATTACAGAAGAAAATTTATTCTAACTGGAATGAAAGTTTGACGCTTGCATTTGAGGTTGCTTTCATACACGGCATATGTTGATCTATATTACGACAATTTTGCAGGTGTCTCAATCATAACAAGTTATAACCAATAATAGATATGTCTGTGAAATATATGTATAATGTCCATGGAAACAGAAAAAGTCAGTTAATACAATTCGTTATTCCAGATTTTTTGGGAATCCTCTTCTCGTTTCAATGAAATAAAAATATGAGTATTATTTCAATATACGTGTACCTATATAGTGAGGCCCCAAAATGTCACTGATACGTTTAACCTTTTTTTATCAGAAGAAATATTCATTCGCTTGTCAGTGACACTTTTTTCAATATAAAGTGTCTGATAGGAACATTTTCCGAATGCAGTGACATTTGGGGGAAACCCATCTGGTTTGTCCTCACTTATATTGAAATAATACTCATATGTTTATTTCATAGAAACATGGATAGAAAATACCAGAAAATCTAGAATAATGAATATACTACCTCCTCGATCAACCTACAGACAGTATTTAAAAAAATTCTGTTGAGTTTAATAATACTTTCGATAGGATCGAGAAGCTGGTATATTCAGTTTTACAAAGTTTTTGAGATTTCCTCTTCTCGGTTCTATAAAATGAATATATGATTATTATTTCAATATACGTGTAGTGAGAGTGAGGAGAAATGAGATGTTTTTTCCAAATTATCACAGCGTTGAAAAATGTTACTATTAAAGACCCTAAAAATAGATTATATTCGATTGTCAGTGATAAGTGAACATATTATTATTTCGATATATCTATTTATATTTCTCTTCTTCAAAAATGTTTCGATACAAGGTTCCACTGATATTGATGATATATTCAATTTGTCTTCGAGGCTCTCTAACATTTCAAAGGTATAGTGACATTCTGGAGCAAAATCATCTGATTTGTCCTCCCTAAACGTATTTTTATTTTATAGAAACGAAGAGAAAGAATCCCAAAAATCTGGAAAAATTAGTACAATAATGTCAAAAACTCTTACACTCATCGATAAACAGTTCCTCCTGATCCAAACTAAAGACGGTATTCATTTCTATTCCATTCTCGTGTGCTATATATACTAGAAGAAATTATTGCAGTTCAAATATTTTCTTCCTTCCATATAGAGCGTTATTCCTTTGTCTTGGTTATTGGTTTCGTGAAAAATCAATCTCATTTTTTTATTATACAATCTTAAAATGATGATGAATTTTGATAACTGCATTCAGTGCAATTATCAATCACTATGACAACATGATCGACTTTGACAACATCAAAATATTTTGAGCCGAATATACCTATAGGACATTGACAAATGCCTCATCATTTTATGACAAATTTCTTAAGCTCAATTGTCATAAAATTATCTCGACTATATATTATCAATATCATAGGGATATTATAATAATAATAATGACTTTATTTCCAATTCAATATCAGTAGATACATGTGTAAATAACAGCATCAAATAAATCAAATATAAATAATTAAATAGTATACCTACAATAACAATAATAAAGTATATAAAAACATAATTAAATGATAATATAATTTCGATATAATTAATATGTTGGGGATACAAAATATATATTCAAATCTAAAATAATAACAAGTACTACAAGGAAGATGAAATGTTGATGAAAGTAATATGGCAATAAATAAGTGACGGAAAGAAAAATCACAGAAGCATTACGCTTGAGTGTGATTTAATCTTGTTTATTTCTCAATATAGGTTATAGTTACTTTTCCTATTTACTACTGACTATTTAATTTATGTATGAAGAATACCACAAGCCGCATGATATTGTCATTATGACAGCGAAAGAAGTTTGCCGTAACTTTTCCAGCGACAATAACGAAACCTATGGAAAGCATGACAACCAGCCATAAACAAACGTTAGATGAATCAAATTGTCTTACCGAATTACACTCTAGTTTTTTTTTTAGTCGAAATAAACTTGGCATTTATAATTCGAATTTTGTTGCCATTATAGGTAATTCGACTCAAAAAACTTCATATGCAGTTTTTTTGCCCATTTGCCAGACAACAAAATTCTTATTGATACATGTCAAGTTTCCTTCGACAAAAAAAGTTCTGGTGTAATTATAAGTGAAAAGATCATCATAGCGCTAATAAGACCGTCATAGATGTGCATCATCTCTCAACTAAAATCTAATATTCTTTTCTTAATATAATGAATGGTTTTTCAACATAAGCGCTTCTGGTTTTTCGATTAATGCGATTATATCCAACTTATGGTCCTGCCATAAATCTCCTCCTTGATAAAACATAAATTCCATAAAAAATCCACCATAATATAAAAAATGATTTTTCTAGCTCCTCTAATCTCCCATCATGCGAATAACTTATTTCCCATAAACCTTGAGATAAGACTGCTCTTTTATCAATTTCCTTTCTATATACCCTCGACACTCCCCCGTGCTCAGGACAGGAACTGTCTAAAGTCGCAACAGAATATCGGATATACTCACCCTGCGGCACCCCATGAAGTTGAATAGGCTGTTAATAGCTCACCCGCAGATATCTGCCGCTGATTCAATTACTATCTCCACCAGGGCTGTTTAGGGAATATTTACCCTGTCCGCAAGAGATGACATGTCTTCTGATTTCATTATTTCGATTGTATACAATTTACAGTTTGTATTGCTTCTGCACTTCTGCAGAGAGCATAGGGTATGATGGTATATGGGTTACAGGGTGTATGAACAATTATAGAATAAATTCAATAGCAGCTCAACAACATCGGGAAGGATAATAAGGCGGATAGAAACTGCTTACACAGCTAACAGATTGTTCTTACTTCATGTACTTACAATAATAGATTTAGAGGATATGGATGGCCAGTAAAATGGTGTCTATAGGTTGTGTAGAGTGTCCGGAAAACTTAGTTTCACTATAGTTCGACACAGCTTATAGATTGTATCGATTATTTCACACCTTCTTGATTGGTTGACATATGTGTGTAGATAATCGAAAACATTATGATCGAAGGGATTTGTATTTCGATGAACATCAACACACTTGTTGTATTACATACGACAAGGGACTTCATTATTCGTTGCATAATTGCTCGAATCCAAATCTTCTAAAGGGAAATAGAACGTGACATTTATTGTCCATGGACACAGATTAACAAACCTTATTGGATACTCTCCGATGACGAGAAACGATTAAAATGGATTACCAGTACATTAGAGAATGTATATGTACGTATAAAAAAAGACTTCGTGCAAATCCTTCCATCCGGTCCAAGATTTTTTCCTCTCTGGGTGCTGAGAAGCTCTGGATATTGTGAAAATCTAAGCTGGTCCATTATATTTGGAATCGATAATGAGAGATTTTAGAAAGTTACAAAACTTACAGAACAACGCAACAAATAGTAACATCTCAATGTTGATTTCAATGAGTGCTAATATCTCGGCTAATATATTTTGATTGTATACCAGATCGCGCTACTGAGACGAGATGTCAAAATTGGTAGAACTAATAGGTATACTTCTTCTTTTCGTGTGATATGGCCCCTTCTCACGATATTTTCTTTTTTGTTGATGTAATTAAAAGTCTAACGATGACTTGAGTTTTTAACGTAGACTGAATCATTTTATCAGAAACTTTTCGAAAGTAACATGGATCTGACGCCATATTATCACCAACTGGTGGGATTGAAAATTTTAGCCCTTATTGACCAACAGAATTATCTACAATCAATCTATTCTCAGATATCTAGAGTATGACTCTTGGGCTTCTTCATGATCACTGGGTTTTTCATATATTTCTATCAAGATAGCTTAACAACTTTTTGTTATCATCTTCATGAAGGCCTTCGAGAAGGTATCTTAGAAGATCTTTGGTGTCCTGATGTTCAGCGTAATCCATGAAAGATGCGGGAGCAAATCTTTGTATTCGATTTTTCATAGAAACTGTGTTCACCA